TCCGAAACTGGCAGGGAGAGGAAACAAAACAAGTGCTATTTTCCGCTTCTCATGAGAGCTTCTGCTATTAAGGGCCCCTCGATGGTTATTGAAGACAGGAGGGCCTGGCCTGATGTGGTCCATGGGGTCGCGAAGAGTCAGACTGGACTGTGCGATATTTATAACAACGAGGATATTAGACTCCACTTGGAGCCGCCGGGCACACCTCGCGTCTCCAGCAGTAGCCCTCTCCGCGCACACTCGTCGCCTTAATCTCAAAGCAGGGCTCAGCTATTTTGTAACCATTTAATGCCAAGCTAGGTCAAAATTCACAGGAAGAGCTCAACTAAGGCCACTCTTAGAATGCCCGTTTTTGTTGTGCACAAGCAATGCTTAAATTGCCACCATTATAATGTAAGCATTGCTTTATCTACTATTTTATATGATCTTACAATATTTGGATTTTAAGAATCTTGGCCCCAGGTAATAGTTTATGAAAGTGTACCCACAGTGCTTACTTTTCCTTGTGCTTTTTCACGTATTGATAGTTGTTTCCAGTGTATCACCCTTGTTGGCAACACTGAAACAAAGAACCCTAGAATCATAGAATCACAGAGTTGGAAGGGACCTCCAAGGTCATCTAGTCCAACCCACTGCACAATGCAGTAAATACACAAATACCTTCCCCTCCACACCCGCAGTGACTGCTGTTCTACGCCCAGATGACCAAAAAAACCAAACAAACAAACCCACCCAGGATCCCTGACCAAACTGGCCTGGATAAAATTTGCTTCCTGACCCCAAAGTGGCAATAAGCATTTCCCTGCGCACACAAGAAAAGGCCACAAGAACTAAGCACTGAGGCAATCCTTCCTGCCCTCTCATGATCTGCATAAGTTCACAGAATCAGCATTGCTGTCAGATGGACATCTAGCCTCTGTTTGAAAACCTCCAAAGACAGAGCCCACCACCTCCTGAGGAAGCCTGTTCCACTGAGGAACTGCTCTGTCAGGAAGTTGTTCCTAATGTTTAGCCAAAAACTCTCCTGATTTAATTTCAACCCATTGGTTCTGATCCGACCTTCTGGGGCAACAGGAAACAACTCTGCACCATCCTCTATATGACAGCCTTTCAAGTACTTGAAGATGGTTATCATATCACCTCTCGGTTATCTCCTCTCCAGGCTGAACATACCCAGCTCCTTCAACCTTTCCTCATAGGACTTGGTCTCCAGGTGCCTCACCATCTTCGTTGCCCTCCTCTGGACACATTCCAGCTTGTTTTGGTGCCCAAAACTGAACACAATATTCTAGGTGGGGTCTAACCAGAGCAGAGCAAAGTGGTACCATCACTTCACGTGATCTGGACACTATACTTCTGCTGATAAAGTCCAAAATCGTATTTGCCTTTTTAGCTACCACATCACACTGCTGACTCATGTTCAGCATATGGTCTACTAAGACCCCTAGATCCTTTTCACACATACTACTGCCCAGACAAGTCTCCCCAAGCTATAATTATGCATTTGATTTTTCATACCTAAATGTAGAACTTTCCATCTATCCCCAGTGAAATTAATTTTATTTTTAGCCCAGTTTTCCAGCCAGTCAAGATCATCCTGTTTCCTGACTCTGTCTTCTACCATATTTGCTACCCCTCCCAATTTAGTATTATCTGCAAATTTAATAAGCATTTCCTCTATCCCTTCATCCAAATTACTGATAAAGATGTTGAACAAAACAGGTCCCAGAACAGATCCTTGAGGCCGGTTTTCTTCAACCCTATCAGGAGTCCTCAGTCTTGCTGAGCATATGGACACTTCTGGAATTTTTGAGGGAGGGGGATGGAAGTAACCACAAAATGGCTGTCATGGTGTGTAGGGGTAAGTCAATCACAGAATGCTGTAAAGTTGCAAGCCAAGCATCTTTGTATGATGGAAGCAATGGCTTTGAACAGGTGATCCTTACAGACATAAAGTTGATGCTGTCTGGGTTCTTTTGAAACCCTTCACACAGATGAGGAAAGCCAAGACTGGCTTTGCTTTGGGGGAGCCATGCTTTTTTGAAGAAGCAAATGGATGGCAATGTTGTGGTTCTCTGCCAGACATTAAGGGATAACTCCGATAACATCATTTCTAGTGGAACAGTATGCATGCACACAAGGAAAGCAGTGTTCTGACACCACTCGTTTCTGCAGTGATTACCAGTGTTCTCTCTAAGCTCTGCGCATGAGTAATACAGGGCTCATTAACACAGGAGAATTTCAGATTACCCTTTTAAGCCGTTTAAGCCGATGTTGTACCGTCTTGGAGTAAACCAGTACAAGGGCGGCCATTTCACACAGCCTTTCCCCTACCAGTAAGGAGCCGTCTCTGAAGCGGTTTGGCATTTCAGACTGCGCCGCTTTGTTTTCCCACCCTTTTTTGCCTGCGCAGGCGATCTTCATCTTATTTTTAACGTTCTTTTAAGAGCGCTATAACACTATAGCACAACACCAAAACAGCACAACAGCGACCCCATTGGAATACCTGGACTCCATTGAGATACATGAGATTGGGGGATTTAAGAATAGGAAGTGGAAGCTTGGGAACACACGGTTTGAGAGTTTTTTTTAACACTAGCTCCTTCCCAGCTTACAAACAGCATCCTCCTTTTGATGGCCAGCATTTCAGGATGCCACGCCTACGGGGGGACCTGCGGATCCCCTGTACTTTCAGCCAGTGTTCCCTCTAAGCTGAGTTAGTGTGAGCTGGCTCAGTTTTTTAGCCTCTGGCTCACACGTTTTTGTCTTAGCTTAGGAAGAATGGCTCCAGAGCAAACTAATTTATGCAGTAGCCAAATAACTTGCCAGTGAGCCAGTAGCTCACAAAGTGGAATTTTTGTTCATAGGACTCCACAGCTTATAGGGAGCATTGTACAGCTACAGCTTATCTCCTGCTTACAGATATTAATTCCCATGCATATAGTGAATGCTGTGGAAGGAGGAATCCATGGCATTGTACTCCATTGAAATCCCTGTTCTCCCCAGATGTAGTGATCTCATGTATCTCAGTGGTCCAGGCATTCCAATGGGGTCGCTATTCTGCTGTTTTGGTGTTGTGTTATAGCGCTATAGCGCTCTTAAAAGAACGTTAAAAAAAGACGGAGATCGCCCATGCTAGCCAAAAAACCTTGTCATCAGAGGAAGCGCTACGGGGGCATTTTACACAGCACCCCGTAGTGCTTCAGGAACGGTATAGAAATTGAAGACAGCTTGGAAGCAGTTTGTAGGTAAAACGGCTCAGGAACGCTTCCCTAATGGGGCAGGAGCGTTTATGTCTGAAAGGGTCAATATATTCCGTTAGGGAACCATTACTAAAATGGTTCTGTCTGAAATGTCAGTACAGAAACCGTTAGTGAACAGTTCCTGAAACAGAACATATCGGCTGTCTGAAATTCCCTACAGGAAGCCTTGCTCAGTAACATGTCTGAAACCACGCAGGGTCTTGCACTGTCCACTGCCCATTTTAAGTTTACAGCAGTTATATTCTGCCCAGGATGTGAACTGCTATGTTCAGTATGGTGAAAAAATTAGAGGGAACGTTACTGCTATGATAGTTTTGACTTAACCCCCCTCCCCTTTGAAAATACTGCTACAGCTCCAAGCAACACTGGAGCAAACTACAGACCCGTGGACAAAGTCTGTTTAAAGTTCTTAGGTCCGGGTCTGTACTATCAAATCTCTTCTCCAAGCCAAAAGTAAACTAGCATGTTAATACATCAACAAATATTCATAAGAATACAGACATGAGAAACAGAGAGAAGCCTTGTAGCAAAATCCAATGTCATATTCAAGAGTTACAATGTTAACAAAGGGCTGTATTTTGTGGAGAAATCTCTAACAAAACCTCTTCACTGTTTTTAAAAAGTGTGTACCTTTGTATTCTCCACAAACATGGCCTGCCGTAGGGACCAGAAAGCACAGATGAATTTTGAATTCTGCATCGTGGCAGAGATGACTGAAGTTGACTCTCTTATTATATAACTAATTCATAAATGGTGACTATTAACTACAGTATGTTTGCTGGCATCAGCAAGTGAAATTGGGAGAATTCTGGAGAATGTAAATGAAGTCTTCACTTTACCAACAATGCTGCCCTCTGGGCAGAGACCAGGCAAGCTAGACCCTGTTTCATTTGTGGATTATAGCTGTTCTGAGATTCCTTCTCTTGAAATGCTTCTGCTTTTTTTTTTTGGTAAACAAATTTTTATTTTCTTAGGAACATAACATATAAGATTAAATCATTCAGTCCATTGTTTACCTCATTCCCTTCCTCCCCTCCCTCCAGTGGCTTCCCGCAATGCTTCTCCCCCTTCTTACAAATTTCATTATATCATTAACACATCATTTGTTATCATCCAACCACAAGATAACATCATTTGACTTAATATTGATCTAAACATATTAAGTTTTGTTTTACATCCCAGTTCTTTTCCAGATATATTTTAAAGTCATTCCATTCTTGAAAAAACACGTTGTCTTCTTGATTATTCAACTTCTTTGTAATTTTATCCATTTCTGCCATGAACAGAACTTTTTGTATCCAGTCTTCGATTTCTGGTACTTTCTCAGTCTTCCAAAATTGTGCATAAATCATCCTCGCTGTTGTAATAAGGTACCAGAATAAAGTCCTTTTAGTCGAGTTAACTTCTTCCATTTTTAGTCCCAAAAGCAGAATTTCAGGCGCTTTCTTGAAAGAGCACTTAAGTATTTTTTGCATTT